TCTATCAAAGATATCCCCCGATAAAGAAAAAAGTTCAAAAGTTCACGTTATCCAGGTTTTGTGATGGTTTTTGCAGGTGTGCGCTGCTTGAGGGTAATTTGTCATTATTTTGTAGAAAATGGGGAGAAGGTGAAAGAAAAAAAATCTCGAAATACGTTTTCGGGTCCGTGGAACATCCCCTAAATGAGATCCAGTTCAATGGAATAAACTAGACCTTTCTATAAGGCTCAGCACGAGCTCATAGTGCAAGGAATGATCCAAGCGTGGCTAAAAACCTAAATTCCGGACTTTATCCCACTTCGGAATGGTCATTCTCCTTGGTGAATTCGAATCCCCGGATTATGAAATATGATAAAAGTTAGGGGAAAATGTGTGTTCTAAGCCTCGTAGAAGTGTGGAAGCTTTAAAAAAATCTTTGACCACGGAATGAGACAACTTGTCCACGGATTCCGTGCGTAATTTAGTCGAGGACTCGGGAGAGATTTTTCAGCGCTGCACTAATATAAGGGGAGGAAATTTCGAAAACTAAAAATTGTTTTCTGCTCAGAATTCAACTGGCTTTCGACTAAAATTAACCAGAAATTCGTAACACAAAAACTGTTGAAGCCACAGGGTCTCATTTCAAATCATTTAAACCTCTTTATCGGACCCATCATCCTGCTTCTGTGAACTTTTGATTGAGCTGGCTGGAGTAAAAAATTGGACTTTCTTCCTCGGGGATGAAATTGTGTCAAAATTATTATTTTAAAGTTCTCGAGCGAATTCCTGTCAAATAATTCGACATGACATTTAAGTAGGGCTCAGGTCCTGCTTATGTTGCCAAGAGAGTAAATGGGTGATTAAACTTCTAAATTCTTGACTCCATTTCGAATTAAAGGATATTGGGTATAATAGGGAACGCGTGGGTACTAAATATGGTCAAGAATTGGGCACAAAGGCTCTGGGCTCTCGCCTTGCTTTAAAAGGTTGATATTTTGAAACTGAATAAACGTTGTTTATATAGACGTTCAGTGGCGTTTCATTGATGTAAGTATTTTTTCAAAATTCAATCAACCGGATCCGCTACAGTAAGTGGGTTTTGTAACATTAGTCTGGCCAGTAATTGGTAGTATCAGGAAAACAGAATGGAAGTGGAGCTTTGTTCCGCTTGGTTATAGTCGCCCATTTCTTGACGTTAAAATCGAATATTTTGAAAAATTCCAACCACCGCACAAACTGCCTGCCGAACTACCCACGATTATTCCTATTCAAATTATCGTGTTCAGTCCGTTTAATAAAAAACAGTACAATTTAATAAATGTTTCGACTACTTATGTGTAAAGGGCCCCTGAAATTTATAGTAATAGCCGATGTTTAACAGTGGAACTTTGTCACGAGGGATTTCGACACAGGCGAAGAACTAGGGGCGCAACAAAAATCTTGCCTAGGGCGCAAATATGCCCAGCCCGGGGCCTGTCTACATATATCTGTTAGCCAACATAAATTCTTTTTGACCGATCATCGTAGAAATAAGACTCTAGAGCATGTGGGGATGTTGTTAATATGACCCCGCTGGCCACGTACCTGCCACTCCAGCGACGTGAGGTAGTCGCGTGGTACACGGACCCAATGGTCGTTGAACTGGGGGAAATTCCCCACCCACCCAAAACCTGGGTGGACATTAGATTCCAGTTAAATGTGAGTCGAAAAAAAGTTAGGCAAAGGATGCATGAATATACACAGTGTTTCGTTTATTACGGGGTTTTCTCATTTTTTTGCACTGCAAAGCAAGAAATGTAAGAAATGCAAGGTGCAAGAAATGCAAGAAAGTGCAAGAAACACAGCGCCATCTAGCGACGCGCCTTCAGAACTATGGCTGCGGGAAGGAGTTTCTTGCACTTTGCATTTCTTGCGGGTAAAAATAGCTGCAAGAAACCAGTTTCTTGCGGTTATTTCTTGCAGGTGGTTACTTGCACCCGAAACACTGAATATAAACAAAAAGTGGTATATCCACTAGTTCATATTTAAATATGTAGGTACATACATAAACAGCTTTATACTGGATGGCAGACATGTCAGTCGAAAAGACAAACTTGAAATAACAATAATATCTGTACTGTAGAGTAATTTATTACGACCGGGTTTATCTATGTATGCAATTATCTCCAAAAATAAATTACTAATTTATAAAAAAAACAATTCAAGAGAGCAGGGTAAGACAAATAAGAAAAACTCCCAAAATTTCAAACTACATATTGTATACATAGAATACTTATTAACATGTCCGTATAGAGAAAGGACATGTCAACGGGTTGAACGCTATTTGAGCACGACTTTTTCAAACCGGGTTCGTCGTAACCATGGTGATCGTTGCAACATGGTGTTCAAATTCATGTAGATACATAGAACTAAATCCTTAGAGATCGATTTTTACATATAAAATAGACATGCAAATAGATACATGCAGTTTGCACTTCATAAATAAACACTTAAGTTTTATTTCAAATCAAGATGTACCAATACAATACTACATGATCGGCAATAAATACATGCATATGTACATTTACATACATTAATCTGACACTCAAAATAAAAATAAGTAAAATTTTCTCAATGTTGAGTAAAAAAGGGGATGACACAACCAAAAGGTAAAATTTGCTCGCAAAATTTATCCACCCGCCTGTCGAAGAAATTTTACAGTTTGTCAAATTTTGCACAACGTTGGATAAATTTTATCTTTTAGTTGTGGCATTCAGTTTTTTTCACTCAACCTTGAGTAAATTGTACTAATGTTTATTTAGACTATGTACATTTATTCATATCGTCGTACTAATTCACAAAAGACCTAAGTGTAGGCGATGTTTGCTTCAGAAAAGACCAATGTGCAAATATGTAGGAATTTACTTATGGCTATATCTTGCCAAAATGATTCTTCATATATTTATCACGTGATTTAGCCATAAGTAAATACATACTTGCACATAGGTCTTTTCTTATTATTTTTCTATACACTTAGGTCTTTTCTGAATTAAGCATCGACGACACTTAGGTCTTTTCTGAATTAGTACGACGATATATTAGTTTTTGTAACGATTTTACCCAATTCTCAGGGACCTCCCACGTGCACCTTGGATGACAAGGACAAACAGAAATTGGAACTTACAGCGAACGAAGTCGGGGGACAAGACAGTTTTCAGATTCATACCCTCCCAAGTGCCGGGAATTTGAGTAAACTCAGATTCATTTCCGGCTAGAAAGATTTCCCCCAATTTTTACAATTCCTGACGTTGCCATGTATCATTTAGAGTTTGATTGAATGCTTTAAGTGAATAAATTTACTTCACAAGTAAATGTTTGATCTGTTGCAGTATTTCATGAATTACATATATACATATGTATGCAGTAATTTATTTATATGGGAAAATATTACGAATATAATAAACTACCGGTTGAAAAGAATTGCTTCTGTACGTATTTAGGTGAGCAGGGTTCGGAAAACCCAGGGGTTTTTGTAGAAAAACCCAACCGGGATTTTGGGTTTTTTTAGGTTTTACTAGCTTTTAGGGCAGGTTAAGAGTGGACTATATTTTATGTTAAACAAATCCTATAAATCACATAGTGGCGAATCTGATGAACTCGGTGGGGTAAAAAGTTCACGAGTTTCGGTGGGAATTTTGATTTTTTTTGCACAAAACTGCAAAAATCATCTGGAGTTGTTGATGTTTTTAGTGGTTTCCAGTGGGAAGAGTATGTGTGCTGGGAAGTTCCCACCACACATACTCTATGACGAGTTGAGACGAATCAGGAAAAATGCAAAATGTTGACCTTGTCATTCGAAATCCGAGTTTAAATGTAAACTGAAAAATGTGAGATTTGTTGGATCAAAACTAGGAATAGTTGCACAAGAAAATAAGGCCCTTTAAGGAATTGATATGCTACTTTTATTTATATTAATCGACGATTGTCGATTTACGTCAATTTTTTCTCTCTCTCGACATTCGTCGGTTAATATAAATAAAAGTAGCATATCAATTCCTTAAAGGGCCTTACTCCCTTGTTGTGCAACTATTACTAGTTTTAATCCAACAAATCTCACATTTTTTAGTGCACATTTAAACTCGGATTAGGAATTATAAGATCAAAAACCTGTGCAAAAAATAATGCATGGGTTAACATACGGGAGAAATACTGAGCGAGAGACTGCATTGGCTGATAGAGCGGACAGGGGTCGGTATAACGCCTTCTTAAATCAGATTCCTAAAATTATGCATAAATTAGCGAAAAACGAATTTAATATACCAATTCAGCAAGCAATTTTAAGCGTTATCGTTGGCTTGGGCTGTTAAATCGTAAATTCATGTTTAACATGTAAACCTAGAAATATGCAATGATACTTGGAAATTTAAGTCTCACATAAAAATTCTCAAATTTTCATGATGAATCAGAAAATTTAATTAGCATTGCTATAAGTTGATGTTTAAGGGATTTTGTTTCAATCTGCCCCAAAATCCTACAAAAGCTATGGAAAGACCCACAAAAACCGGCAAAAACCGGCAAAAACCCCATTAACCATTAGGGTTTTCCAGGAGATTTGATACCCCAAAAACCCACAAAAACCCTGACCCACAAAAACCCGGGGTGGCGAACCCTATACGTGAGACTGGGTTATGTGCAAGTAAAAGGATGACAGAACCATTTCTCCCACCCTGGAGAGAGTGTTCGTAAAATGAGCGTCATCTAACCAACTAATAAATAAAATCAAGCTGACAAGGAGAAAGTAAATGCTCATGTAATTGTTTATTTTTAAACTTTGAATAAACATTTTTCAATTACTATGCAAGTATTCTAGCTAAAAAGCAATCTTCTTAAGAGAAATGTTGTGTTTCAGAGAACCATACATAATTTTTTTATGAATACAAGTACATATTTAATGCTGGAACTAATATTTTCAAAGCCAATAGTTTTTTTAAAAACTAATTTTTCAATTACTGTAAGCATTCAAGTGAAGACAAGATTCAATATTTTTTTAAACCAAGAGTATTTTTTTTAATCGCCATTTTTTGATTATGTATGTATGATTACAAGAAATATTTTTAGTAGAATTTTTTTTGAAAATCAATATTTTTCGATTTAGAAGTATTCTCTTAGAAGGAATCGGATTAGTGTTTGGGCCCGAAAAATTTTGGCCAGGACCAAGACCCGGGTTTATTCGCGTCTCCATGAAACGTACCGGCCAGAATTTTGCCTTTACTCCCGTTCCCCCGTAGGAAGGGGACAATTGGTCCGGGTCGGCCCAATCCAACAAGATGGGTTTCCACTCCTTCTCGTCGGCATAGTTGTCAAAGATGTCGTTCGTATCTTGCGACAATAAGGGACGAATGGCCGACATGGCGGAGGAAAAGAGAGACGGAGCTATGAAAATATTAAAAAAGGGAGGGAAAATTTAAAAAATTCAAAAATTCAAAGTTGTCAAAATTTTAAAACGATTTTCGTACAATTTATCAAAACCATTCTGGCACCAGAGCCGGGATGTTGTTTTTCGTAAACGGTTGCAGAATGCCAGTAAGCCCGGGCGGCTGGAATTAATTTTATAAACTGTGTATAAAAAAGTTTGTACATTTTTTGAGAAAAAGTTTACAAATTTATTGGAAAAAAGTTTGCAAATTTTTTGAAAAAATAGTTTGCAAATTTTTAGAAAAAAAATTCATGCATATTTTTCTCGAATATTTTAGCCTGTACAACCCCCAAATTTTGATTGTTGCGAAATATGCCCATACATTGGCTAAAACGGATTAAAGTGTTATCATTTCATGATTTTGACTGTTAAGAATTTTATTTTGAAATCGCAATTTCCTCGTAATGGAAAAGACTAATTAACAACACTGGTCCGCATATTTATCAGAAAAGTTTAAAAAAAAATTTTTATGCATTCTTTTCAGACTTTTGTTCTCAAATTTTTGCACTACACGCAATTGATAAAAATTTATTAGAGTTTTTTTTTAATTTCATAATTTTGAAATTTGCAATCAACACCTAATCGAATGATAAGTGACTTACCTGCCAAGCTGACGGAAGCTTTATTATCTTGGTTCAAGAACCAGACGAATTGTGTAACATTTTTGCCCTGATGCTGCAAATCGAGCAGTTTGTGTTCCGCTTCGTCCAACATGCGGTCATAGTAGCGGAGCACGCGGTCAATCTGACCACGTTCCGCGGCCCCGTCCAAATCCCACGAGCCAAAGTCCATGATCAAAACTGGGGTAAACATTTTTTGAAATTTTTTTTGATTTTTTCAAAAGACTTTTTGAATTTTATACACGTGACATTAATGCACTCTTAAAAAGAATGCCCTCAATTGTAGAAGTAAGTTAATCGCCTCTGAAGTCCATGATCAAAACGGGGGTAAAATTTTTTTAGACTTTTTGAATTTTTAGTGTCATTAATCACGCACCCTTAAAAAGAATGTCCCCCTTTTTAAGAGCACATGGACTATGAATTCCAAGTTAAGAAAACTATACTACATAAATCCAGGCGAATGCTAGTTTGGTAAATAGTAAAGTTTACTCATTCTTGGATTTTGGTATAGTAAAAAATGAAATTAAGAAATTAAAATTAAAATTGAAAATAAATATTATTTTTAAGAGCGTACATATATTTATTAACTTTTTTAAAACTTACGTGGCCGGCCTTGTTTGTCATGACCGTCAAATTTGTAAGGAAAATCTTTCTTCAGGTCGGAAAAATCCTCGGTTAAAATGGCGCTCATTTTGTTATCCTCGCGCCAAAAGAGATGCTATTTTTTAGAGAATGAAATTTTGCTTAATTGGAAATTTTTTTTAAATTTGGGTGCAACACGAATTATTTTTTAAAAGTTTATCTGTTTAATCGTAGTTTTTGAAAACTACCTATGCAAACATTGCGAAGCAAAATGTCTGCCTAAATGTCCGAGAACATTATCAAAAAATGCTTTAGCTAAATCTGGCAAATTTTCTAAATTTTGGTCAAACTGCATGAATAATTCTACACCAAATATTTAATTCACACAAGGAAATTGTATGTACTATTAATTTTAGAATAGTTTTCATACCCCAATGAAGTACAGCTCGGCATCGTCCACATTGAAATTTTTCGCTGAATATTTTCCAAAATGTTATAATCAAAATATAAAATCAAAAAAACTTTTTTAGCAGTTGATAAAAATTACCTCGAAGAAATTTCAAAACGTACAACTCATCCTTGACCCAATCCTCCTTGATTTTGGGCAGAACGCGCTTCATCAGCTATGAAAATGAAAAAAAAATTAAGTTACTCAGCAGCAATTAAAAAATTAAACTAATTGAAAATCAAGAACATGTTTAAGCTGAGAATTAAATAATTAGAAAGTCACAATTAATTTTTAAAAAATACAGGAAATTTAAAATCTGTTTAAATTAATACCTCATCTAATGCAGCCCTTTGCTCCCCAGTCAACCCGGTGTGATCCATCATGCGTAATTTTGTCGTAGTCGTTGCCATGGCAACGGTTGCCAGGCAGGAAAATAAAACGATTGTCTTGAATTGCATCTTGTCAATAATGAATTTCAAAATAAACTGAACTGTGGCAAATTTTGGTTTCAGATCTTATTTATAGGAGGACGCAGGTAGCTAAATAATTAATGAAGTCTAAATAGCCGGCAAATTAGCATAATTAGCATAATTATATACGTATATTATATAAGTCACAAATTCATTGATTTTTAAATGACTCGAATTGCATGAAGTTCTGGAGGATGCAGGTACTTCTGACAAGATCGGTGACAAATTAGCATATTTATTTAAGGTACAAAGTTCTACACTCTTAGAAACTTGGTATTGAAAAAAACTTAACGGTATTGATACGTGACTCTACCGCCTTGGTATTAAACAGTTATACCATATTGGTATAGAACCGGTATTGAAATTATACCCCATGGTAATAATTTTAATACTAATTGGTATTAATTTTTTTACCACGTAGTATTAACTCAATACCGGATCAATACCACGCGGTAGAGTCACGTATCAATACCAACGGTTATTGATTTTTTTAAGAGTGTAGATTTTTAAGCAGAGTGCATTAATTTATTTGCTGCAGTTCTGAATATTTATCGATTTGGTAGTAAACGTGATGAATTCGTACCCAAGAATTCCGCAGTTAATTAACTTCATTACTAAACAACTCAATAAATTGACATCATCTCTATTCCGACTCACATAAACTGAATGATTGGGAAATACATAGTTTCGTGGAAAACTGGAAGTATAAATTGTGTTGACAGAAATCAACAAAAACTTCAGTTCTGCCTGACAAAAATTGTACATTGTTAAAAATCTGTTGGATTCAGGTATGTATAAGTACTACTCCTTACTGCCAGTAGGTTACTGATATTGATTTGGTAATAACTTCTTATCGGACTGATAGTACTTTATTTCTGAATGGTGTAAGATTTTAATTTGCACACATTAACGACCGGTAATGCCCGTTATTATCGGTTCCGGTACATAAATTGAGCAAGTTAAGATTCTTAACTTAAGAGTAAGTGTTTATGAATAAAACTGTATATAAACTAGCGTATAAGCCCGTCTCCCGCCGGGCAAGAGTTGATGAGATTCTCAAAATTTTACCAATTTAATATTTTGTAGATATTTTTAAAGCACAATTTGACGCCAACGGAAGTGAACGTAATTTGAAACGAAAGTTAGAGTGGAAAATTAAATTTCACCCCATTTGGCTCTACCAGCTCACTCTGCCATTGGAAATGGCAGTGCCACTGGTAGTTTGTCTGGCACCCCACTTGCCTCTGCAGCCCAGCACTGGAAGTGTGACTCGTTCTGCATCGATACTGAAATCCTACTTCCACTTCACTTCCACTTCACTTCCGTCAGAAGTGACTGATCCTGCATCCATTAAACCCCACTTCCAGTGGGGTTCCATGCATGAACTCACTTTCACTTCAAGAAATTTTCGATATTCTTGATATTCTTAATATCCTTGATGTTCTCGACATATTCTTGATATTCTCGATAAGCTGAATATTCTCGATATGGTCAATATTCACGATATTCTGGACAGTCGATATTCTCGATATGCTTAATATTCTTGATATTCTCAATATTCTCGAGAATATCGAAAATATATTCTCGACATTTTTGATATTCTCTAGAATGCTCAGAATACTGAGAAAATCGAGAATATCAGAAATATTGAGAATATGGAGAATATCACCCCAAGATAATCACTCCCAGTTAACCATCCAACGATAACAACTTCCAGATAACCATCCAAATATAACCACTCCCAGATAACCACCCCAAGATAATCACTCTCAGATAACCACTCCCAGTTAACCGCTCCAAAATAACCACACCAAGATAACCACTCCCAGTTAATCACTCCAAAATAATCACTCCAGATAACCCACGATAATCACTCCAGACAACCACCCCAAAAGAACCACTTCCAGATAACTACCTCAAAATAATCACTCGCAGATAACCACCGTCAGACAACGACTCCCTGATAACCCAAATCACACAACTACTCCAAGATAACCACCCCCAGATAACCAACATCCGACTATTAATTTTTTAATTTATTTTGAATTTTCGCGCCATTCGAAACCTACCTTTCTCCACTTTCACTTCCGTTACAGAACATTTACTTTCACTTCCGCTGCACACAGACATTTCCAGCTTATAATAAAGATATCTGTTCATGCATGTATACAAATATAGCAGTATATATACTGCTGTATATACATATTATATTATATTGATACACGTGGGTTATGCAAAAAGGGGCCGTCCATAAATTACGTAACGCGAGAGGAGGATGAGGGGGCTTTAAAATGATGCGTTGCATATGTTAAAAAAAATCACGATTTTTTCATTCCGTAATTTATGGACGGTCCCCAACAACGTATATTTTTATGCATGGAGACACGGCATCCATACTTTGGAGGATGTTATTTGTACAATTATGTAAGACGTAAATATGTAAATATCCTTAAGTGATTATTGGAATAACTTTGAACTACATATTTTAAAACCTCGGGTTAAACGTCACCGAATTGTGTGCCTGTTTACCTAGGACTTTACCAAATGGTGATAATTTTCCAACTCCATGCAATAAATTTTGCCCGCGTCGTGACAAATTGTCACTGGCTGGAATTAATTTTATCATACTTACATAATTACTTAGGTCAGCAATTTTATTAAAACGCCAGGGTTAAGTAACACATAAATATGCACACAGTTTGGTGAGGATACTACTAACCCCGGATTTTTTAGAGTGTAGAAGATTTCAACAAATTTACTCAAATGGCAGTCTAATATTTATTTTAAAGTCACATGCGCAGATTGATAATACAGGGTTATAAAAGATTATAGTCCGAGTCGCTATTTGTCCATTGTTTTTGAAACAACAGCGCCAAACAAAATATTGGGTGTGTTTTGGAAAGTTTAGTTCAAGGTGAACCAGTCTCTTTTTTCCCCATTTCGAAATTCCAAAAACGGGTCCTAAAATTGACCCCAAAGTGTTACATGACGTGCAAGCAGTTTTCCAAGCTGGAATGACATATAAAAAAGTAGACAATCAATTCTAGGATGAAGTAATTACCGTTTCTGAGGCCAGAGTACTTAAAATAAGGAGTTCCGTTGTAAAAAGGCACCAGGCCTTAAATTTGGAGGTGCCATAGCCGCCCAAAGCATGCCTCCCGAAAAATGAGGAAACTGATGATCGTAAGAAAAATTGATGTGGACACCGTAATTGGAAATTTTTGAACCAAAAATCAACTCGCAAAGAAGTATACGGTCCATGGGCGTACAGTGAAGTGAATTAATCATCAAGATATACACTACTTCATCCAGAATTAGTAGATATCTGCTGTGCATGAAACTTTTTCTCTGACATCGCTCGGATCTACACCCAGTACGCAGCCAATTGTTTAGTAATATTCGGAATTAAAGTTATTTTGCATAAAGACAAACTAGTTACGTCCGGTTATGCGCCATCAGTGCTTTATTTCTGATTACAAACATCAGATCGACGCTTTTCTTAAATGGACATCAAAATTTTTTGATGCGTTTTGCAAAGTTTCAGAAAAAAATGTAATTCGAAGAAACTCTGCTGTCGGCTTTAAAATAATCACTTTTTAGAAATTAGGACTTCATTCCTCATCAGAAAATGGGGAGGATTACGCAAAATATTCGGCAACTCGTATTTCCCCCAGAAAGTTAAGGTTGGTGACTCGGACTATAATCTTTTATAGCCCTCAGGATGTATAAAATTACATGCATAAAAATATGCAAGATGGTATTTAATCAATAATCCCGGTAAATATGTAGGTCGAAATTATTCTTTCGCTTCTGGAAAATTTCCATGATTGTCAGGAACATTCCCCGCAGCGTCATCTTAAATGGGTTAGGTCAAATTGTAAATTTCCAAAATTACTTAATACGCAGTTGTAATTTTTAGCCGTACAATTACACCCTCAATAACTTTGTGGTAGATTTGTTACCGGCGGAGGTACTAAATATGTTTGTAATTTTACTGCCTCACTTGCGCCGGTAATAATCCAGAGGTCGACGCGGACAAATTTTCGGCGGCGGCGGCGGCGCCAGTTTCTGGTGATCTTTCGGCGGCGTCGGCGGCGCGGCGCGGCGCCCCAATGTTAAAGGAATAGGAAATCAAATTTTTCGGCGGCGGCGGCGCGTAAAATAGTACCGGCGTTCGGCGGCGTACGATCAGCGGCGTTGACCTCTGTAACAATCCGATTGTTACCGGCGCAATTTACGATTGTTACAATCGTATGACAAAATTATTGAGAGTGTATGTACCTATATAATTTCAGATCTTATGCGTTACCATTTTCATCCTCGGACATATCTTCTTCCTGGGAAATATCTACTTCCATTCCAGAATCGGTTGAAGTGGTCGCTGAAGTGGCGACATTAACTAAAAAATGCATAAAATAAATAGTTATAATTAAAAAAATCATCATTAATGTGAATTACGCTTGCCCTTCATTTCAATTGCGTAATATGAGATCCCTTAACCCCTCCCCACTCAAATCACATTTCTTTTTTGCACAGTCCCTCATATTTACTAAAGTAAAATTTGCCCCTCAGACACCAACTATTTATTACCAGTCCGGTACGAAATTACTACCAATCAATGTACAAATATGCACAGGTATGTATTTATACATGTGCATATCCATTAATTAGTTACGTAAATTTATTTAACTCTACCAGATTTTTTACAGTAGATGTAAATAAATCACAGAGTTGGATATTTAAATAGAGTTTACTTTTACATAATATGTAGGTTAATGTAAATGAGGACACGGTTTGAAGTGCATTGAGCCTGCGCCAACCTGCACTTTGAAAAGATACATAAATTGGAAATTCCGGAGCGTCAAATCCCATGGTGGATTCTTTCATTTTTTGAATTGTCAACGTTAATTTTTGTCTAATTAAAAACACAAATCACTAATTTTTATCAAATTTAAGCTTGTAAATTATAACTTTAATTGCGCTATCGATTATCTATTAATTACCCATAATTACTTATGTACATTTCTTTGTTCAAGTGTGACCATGTTTTCTCGGAATATGCATGTATGTAACTCCCTCTACCTATTTAAATATCCAACTCTTTGGTGTAAATAAATAGGTAAGCTTTATACAGGGTGGTCTTAATGTCACGCTAATTTTTCCATGGGAAAAATTTGTAAATTTCCATTCGGTACAGAAGTTTTGTCTCGGAACCTTTAAGCATTTTAAGAATTTTAGTATTTCGCCAGGTTTTGATAAAGATTAATAAAAACCTCAATCCCCAATCTAGACCCCCTCCCCCTCACCGCTTTAGCATGTGTCAGGATACCATTGGAGGCTTGAACCCCCCCCCATTTCGCGTGACATAATTTATGTACGGTCCAATTGCATAAATAAGTTGGGACTATGTATGGATGCATGCGTGAATGTAAAGTTTATCACATTCCCAGGCTTCGCAATTTTATTAACTATGCATGTATGAAAATATGTAACACTGATCTTTATTCTCTGGTTAGATCAAGTGTGTAATAACATGCAAAAGTTTCAAATTTCGTGTCCAGTGCAAAACTCGCGTCGTTATATTTTAATGTTCTTCCATATAGATACACATAAGTATGTACATACAAATCGATTTCCAATGACATTTGGGCATCTCTTGAGGCAAATTATGCCCCGTAAATGCCACGAGAATCATAAGTATTTCTTCAAAATGGGGTTTAATTTATGCATGGTGTAAAATGATAAGTATGCGAAATGATAACTCTGCGAATATTTACACTTTATAAATACTTCAATGAATAAAATAAGAACTTTAATGAATCCAAAGCTAATAAATGCCACAAGAAAAGAACTTTACTATTTACATATAAATAACTAAGTAATTCACCAGCTAGCGGGTGTTCAATCAATAAGTAATTATTTTAAAAATATTCTCATTACCTTACTGAAATATGCGTATGTACGATCGGACAAATGACGGATATTACAGATAGACACGTCATTCCACTCTTGACCGAATACCGACCAACAAGAATTCCGAAATGCTATCCATACCGGCCTCCTTTTTCCTACTCCTTTTCTTCCAACCGGGTGAAAGTTTCTTATGGAAATTCAGCAACGAGTTGGCCCTACTTCCGGCCGAGTTACTTCCGACGTTCGAATGCACCCTGCACTACCATCAAGTTGGGAGTTTTGAGGGGGGCTTGTCCCTCCTTGGTGAGATACATGGCCGCCTTGAATCTTCCCCGGTTTCCTGGCTTGTCTATACTGAATGGCCAAATGTTTCGCAAAAAGAAAATTCGCATGAAATCTGGGACGCTGCCGTAATGCTGAAGCGACATCAATCCTGGTGCAGTATCATTTTCTACTTCGACGTAGCCAGATCAACGTTACAGGATGAGTTTTATCAGACTTTTTCCTGTCACATTTATCGCATTGAGACGATTTTTATCTTCATTCGAGACACGATGGATGATTATTTATTACGAAGTGAACTTTATTCTGCACCGTGCCTAGTGTTTGTTGAATTTTACAGGATCAATTCATCCCAACGTTTCGCTTACTTGCGAAGGAACAAGGTGGGAGTAATGTTGCGTGCAATGCGACCGAAGTTTTCGGTCGTCTCAATTCTTCAAAAATCTCCGAGCCTAGAGGACGTTGAAGAAATCCTGCCAGGAATTGTTCCTACAAAATTTATTGATTTCGAATTGGGTAAAAATATTATCAATGATAATGTATTTATTTGCAGGGCGGTTTAAAAGTCACGTTACAGTGGGAAATTGTTCAATGGAAAATACCCTAAATACCGTAGTTACAAGATTAGGGGTTGAAATTTTTATTAATTGTAGTCAAAAAGGAGGGTAAAATTCCGAAAATGTTAAATTTCAGACGCAAAATTTTGCAAACTAAATAATGTCACCTTCGGAATATTTCTCAGTTAACAATTTTCCATAGTACCGTGACATTCATACAGTAACTAGAACATTTGTATTAATGAATTATTGCAGATCCTGCCAGCCGCCATATTTGCTATGATGCCGCGATTTCCAAAGACATCTGGACTTGGACGTTCTGGTTGATATCATTATGCCCCGTGAACGCGGCTAGAATTGTATTTCTGCAAAATGCCTTCAATTTCACTTTATTCCTCGGATATGAGAATACCTTTGCCCAAATAGAGTTTGAATACCGAACCGAATTTTACGATCCCTTCTTAACAAGATCGTCGGATTGGACACCTTCAATCCTTTATTGCAAAAGTGGGCCCCGTCTCCCACAAGGTTGGCCCGTTTGGCTGGGTCCATTTAACCTCGAAGTTTGGGTAATGATTGGTCTAACCGGCGTGACAATCCTGGCTTTTCAACTTTTTCAAAAAGACCGCCAAATACCCAGGGAAATCTCACATTTCACCGCTGCCTTGTTTCGACAAGGTTTTGAAACCAACCAAACCCGGCAAATCCTATTGGTCCTGATGTGTTTAATTTTGTCCACCTCGTACGAAACGTTGTTCACTAGTAAGATCATCGTTCCCGCGGGTCTTTCAGGATTTGAAAATGTGGGACAATTCGTGAATAATTCTGATAATAACAAAATAATCTGCATTAATACGTTCAGATGCAATTATTTGTTCAATACTAGCCACGATATTACGTCAAACCTAGAAAAATATGGGGTTCTCGGGAAATTAGAGAAATTTCTGGTTGTCCGATCAATTAGAAATTTTTGGCTGGAACATACCTCAGAATTTAGTCTCTCTATGGCATACGGAACCATGAATAGGACGCTTCTCGGAATTTTGCTGGATTCAAGTAATGTCAAACAAAATGCGGAATTATTGATTTACAATTTTATAATTTTAGCCACCTTAAAAGCAAAAGGCCTCGTTAAATCGGAATACGTGCCCAACTGTCACTTGCTAAATGCGGGGACAAGGTCGTATTCCTATAATTTTTTTAGAGTTCCGTATTTCAAGGAATTAGCGAAATTTGAAGGGGCTACGAATGAGTTTGGTTTTCATCGTTTGTGGGAAACGGTTTGGATGGCAAGATTTCATCTACGGGCAGAAAGATTGCCAGATCTGATGAACAATGCGACGACTCCAAGTGATGCCGGGTTAAAGTCTAAATTTATAACTTTGTCACATCTGGGACGTTTTTTTGCTCTTTGCATAATTCTCGGGGGCATGTGTGGAGGGGTATTTCTAATTGAAAATATGAGCCGACCAAGCAGGAGGAGAGAATTGTATTGTGTCGGCGTAGTTTTAGTTGAGAAGATACAGAGTAGGAAATCGCATTGGGGCAGAGTAGTTTCAAAGTTTGCGTGCTTACAGTGTTTTAAATTTAAAGTGTTACTGATAATAAATCGGGTAAGTAGGGTAAGATATGTAAATAAAAAATAAACTTGTAATGATTAAGAATCAGGTGATTGTGATTAGCGATTAAAAATAATTACCTAAATAATTGTCAATAAATGTAAATATGTATATTGTTAACACACGAAAAAGTGATGCACTGATTCTTGTAGGGTTCTTTACAAAGTACCCGTGATACATAATAACTCGTCTCACATTACCGTTGAGGCTGTATTGTATTTATGATTTATTTAACAAGAAAAGAAGTAGTTCACATCTTCACGCAACTAACCAAAATCCTGGACAATTCTGGCTTACTAAACTAAAAGTGGATTAATTAAAAGGCAAGTAGTTCAACATTATCATTTGTACATTACCAAAATTGCAAAATTCTTATGTCGAATTTCCTATGCGTTTCATTAAATAAAAGTCAGTACGAATTCTTACAAATCGTCCTCCTCCTCCGCGTCCCCGTTTGATGAACACCCATGCCTACTTAGAAATCCTTGCCGCGTAAACTTCCTATCACACGTGGTACACGTGTAACTCTTGTGTACTCGAACATGATGAAGAATCCGTAATAGCTCGCTTCGAAATTTGGATCCACACGAGAGGCACAAACTGCTGGATTCTTTCGTCTGGAAATAATTAATAAATGAAAATATTAAGAAATTTTTGTTATTCCAAAAATTACATGACCAATCGCCAAAATCAGCATTTCTCTGCTCTCGGAATTTTAAAATCTATTTTAAAATTCTGGACTATAAATTTGTAGAGAAGGGGGTTGCCTACTTTTTAAATTTACAGTTCAGATTTTGAAAGTTGTTGAAAGAGGAGATCTCAATTTTTTCAAGGAAGCCCACAGAAAAATTGCAACTCATCGAAATTTTAAGAATTGTCCAGAATTTTAAAATAAATTCCCAGGAACGTATTTATATAAACATGACTCATAAAAATGTGTCAATTTTGACGAGTGGTCGGGTAATACGCTAAACAAAAATAAAGATACCATCCCGTCCGATTTACACTGTTCGAGATGATCCCCCCATTCTTGCTCAGTTTCAAAAGTGTCTTCCGAACAGTGATAGGGACACGACGTCTTTTCGCCAAAATGTTTGAGTTCGACATGTCTCGAGTAACAGTTCTTGTCCCTGAAAGTTTTCTCACAAATGTGACACGTGCACCGGATGGTGGCTGGTTTTTGATTTGTCTTTTGATTCAGGGGTCCGCCTATTCTGTGCACCACGTTTTTATGCCGGGCCAGCACAAACGAGTAGAGAAACTCCATTTCGCAGAGGTCACACTTATGGCGTCGTCCGTCATGGACCGCTTTTCGATGTCGGGACAAACTTGCCGCCGTGGCGAATCGTTTATCACATCCGGGACAAAGAAACGGTAACTCGTCGGGGGGAATAAAGCTGGAAAACAATGTGAATTTATGTTATGTACATACGAGTCCGATCCGTATTCATACGCAAATTATTTACGGTAGGACTCGATGACTTATGGCCAAAAATCGTCATATTTTTAATCCTTTCTCTGCTCTGGAAATTTTTTTTACAATTCTGGACAAATTTGTCGAGCAGGTCGTTCCAATTAAAAAAATATACAATACAGATTTTGACCGTTTTTGGCGGACGAAATCTCAAATTTGTTTAAGACGCCTTTAGAAAAATTGGAACTCGTCGAAACTGACTTAAAAGCTCACTCTCATTCTGTTAATCAACTTTTACTCACTACAAATTTGTCGTTCAGAATTTAAAAATAAATTCCCAGAGTCGAGAAATGATTAAAAACGTCCTTATTTTGACAATTTTGGTGACGAATCGTTAAGTCCTGCATAAGACGTTAAGATGATCAACATGTAATTTGTTTGGTATAATTTACTATGATCGCTGCTTCCTTATCTTGGCCACTTTCGGATTTGCGTGAAGACTGAGATGAAGTTTTAATTGGTTCGAGGTGGCATAGGTTTTTCCACACATTTCGCAAATCAGGGGTCGCAAATGACTCAAAGCATGGCCGCGGAGGACTCTCTGTGAGAAAAACGACTTTCCACAAACTTCACAGACGAAATCCCGATTTCTGGAAAAATATCGAAATAGTGGATTCAGTCACACATGTAAATACGTGCAAGAACTGAAGGCACACTCTTAAAAATGATGTAACATATGCACTCTGATTCCTATAGTAAGTAAACTGTGAGCGTTCTCACGTGAACTGTTCGCATATCTCGCAAATTGAGCTAAGGAACATAACTTGCGAAATATGCGAGATTTCGCAAAAATTTTGCTGGTAAACTATGGGATTTTTTTCGCAAATTTATCCAACAATTGGGCATGTTCTTATTTCGTAAACTCATCCTCACCATTGCATTGTCACCACTAGAAATTAAAGAAACTCTTGGTAACAATTCCAAAATAGGTGTTTTTCAGTAGTCTTGCTAGATTGGAGAGATTTGCGAACTCATATTTTGCGAATCCCCTCGCGACAGAAAAATATTTTGATCTTCGCAAGTTTGCTAAATGAGTTGCGATGCGAAATAAGACGTTGCCGTGAGTATGCCCTATGTACACTAAATTTTTTACATGTCAACCTTACTCAGGATTTAGTACAGTCTACTTCGTATCAAATTCAAAGTGTATTTTCTTTTAAAAAGGGTAAATTCATTTTTTAGAGTGGGTTCGATTTCAGTTTTTTTAACAACAGGGGTAAGAAATCCAGCCAAATTCGTACGACCCGGACCCTAAACCCGCTTTCCTTCCAAACGCGGTTCAACGTTTGCAACACAACTCGAACAATCATCATTTTGAAAAGTGTAGAAAAAGAAGTGAAACAGACCGTTCAGCAGGACGGGGCTGGACCTCGCCGAATGCCGCACGGTGCTTGTAACTCATTAAGTGGGCGTTGTAAAGTACTATCGTCCCATATTCCGTGTTGCAAGGGTGGCATCGAATCCTTTCCGCGTGGATGGTCAGCTTATGGTGGAGAAGGAGAGAAAATTTGTGATATTTAAGGTCGCATTTTGCACATGCAAAGATAACCGTTTCGTCCGCTAAGATTCTACAAATAATGTAAAAATTGGTAAGTATTGCTTAAATGAAATGCAGCGTTTCCAAATACGCTTAATTTTCTGTAGTATTTTTTAGCCCGAGTCAGGGCTTATGTATGTACCCGTGTGATTGTCTGTCTGTCTGTGTATCGATAACGCTCGTACAACTAATCAGGTCGGCTAGAAATTTTTTTATGCAGTAGAATATTTAAGTGTGCAAAATTAGGATTCAAGTTCGAACATTGTTCGTACGTTCGACGTTCGTTGGTACAAATGTAGATGGAAAAATTCAAAAGTTGTAGTGGTCGTTGAACATGTATCTCTATATATTGGTCATATCTGTCAACGCAATTCGTCACATTCATAGATGCATGTGTCTATGTAGATAATTGCATACTTCCCTCCGATATTTGGAATTCTTGTAGGACCACCATATGGGGAAAAAATAATAATCTCGTTATAAAATTGAATCTATAATTATTCAGTCAGTAATTATGTAAGTGTCACTCTGAAATCTGAGTGAACCAGGTAAAATGCTTTAAAAATAGCAACAGATAAATATGCATGCAAGCACATATGTAAATAACCCTGCCATGCTTACATATGTAACTTACTTATCCTTTGTAACCTATTAGGTTTGCATGCGCTGCATATTTATTTACATACATATCTTTGCAACTTTTATAAATAATCGGAATATCGGGATAATTTCGGGTTAAAATGACCAATGCAGTTCGAAATAGCCTCACCGTGATAAATTTCCACCATAGCAAGGCTTGTGACTTAAGGATATTATGACTGCTAAATATAAGATCGTATTCACATATTTTTATAAAGTTTATGCTTTATTAAGAATTAATGAATTAGCTGAATGAATTCTCAACTGGCACGACATTACAAGGTAGGGAATTTTAAATTCTAATGAACCACTATATTTGCCACAAATACACATGCTCATATGTAGAAGAACTAGTGCGATAAAAGAGAATTCTTCACACAAACGTGAACACGAAGCAAAAGGACATGGATATAAATCCCTCTAAAAATAAATGAATGTCTCTTCTGACGAATTAAGAACCAAAAGAGGTTGTTCTTCAGACAAGAATGAAAGGAATATTAATGTATGTACATATTTACAATGCAAAAAACGAGGTGGCACAAAATTCAAATTTCCAGTACAATCTAAAAGGTTGGAGTTGACTCATTTCCGGCTCTAAGTAACTAATGGGAAGGCAAGCGGGGAATTATCGTCGTCCGCGGGTTTGGTTTCTTCAGGAGGTGGTGGCGTGTCAAGGGACTCAGACATTTTGGGGGTGGCAGCTCGTCTAGGATTTTACCCTCCTGAGGGGATGGGGGCGACAGTCCTGTCCCCTTTTCGAAAGTCCATGGACTTCCTCCAGAATCACTGTCCACCGATGCGGACCTCTTTCGCATGTGGGGCTCCATTTGACTAATTAACATGCATGTAGAAAAGTGATTGCCAATGCCATTGTTAATTTTCAATTCTTCCCAAATATTAAATTTATGTGAATGAACATACATACATATGTACTTATTTACCGTGTAGAAAATAAAAGCTGAAGAACGTTGGTACAAGTACAATTGTCCAATCACAAAGGTTGTAGCGACGCGAAACCGGTGATATCAAAATTGGCAAGGCTTCGAAATCATGAATTTTTGTGGCAACTAATACATACATACATACATGCTAATTATTGCTAAAAATGCACTTACAGTAATGCACCTCCCCTTGTAAGTAAGAACTTTCACATTACAATCTTAGAAATAATGTTACCCTTGCAAAAAGTAAATGCACTCTGAATTCTAAATTAAGTAAACTATGCCAAATCCAGAGTATTATTAGGTTGATAAAGAGTCAAGATTACTCGGGATTTGGTATGGTTTACTTAATTTAAAATTCAGAGTACATTTACTTCTCAGAAAGGTAGCATTATTTTTATAAGTGCAAATACATAACCTTCACAGCGTTATATTTTCATGCCTCCGAACTTTATTGAACACAAGTGTCGTCGTCAGTAAAAGCTTCAATTTATATATTAATTAAACCTTAAATTAATTGTGGACACGGATGGACCAGGCCCACCACCGATAGCGACAGACGTAACCCCGGTAATGGTACTTCCACCACCTGCTGAGAGGGATAAGATAATTTTAAGTTCATTGACACCGGATCACAAACATTTACGACTATGTATCAGGCTGCCCTACAATGGACCATTTTTTCGTGATACACCCGAACAGCTTAACGAGTTTTAAATAATAATAAACATAGCTAAAAAATCAGGAATCGCGTGGTACTTTTCGTTCCATTGAATGACCACTTTTGAGGTCACATATTGGGGGCAAAGTTCAAGTGTTTGACGTGTTTTTAGTGGGAGAGAGCGAAGGAAAATTTACTCCAAAATTTTACTCCAACGGATCTTACTCGATACACCCACTTGGGATGAATCTACTAACAGTGGCCGTGGAATTGTAGGGACAATGCCCCCACGCGGTTATTCGATGTCCCCATCATCTGCCATATGTATAATATATGCACATATGCCCCTCCCTCCCCTATCCTACAATATTTATGTCCCCATATGTCACCACCGCTTCCGCGGCCACTTCTGAGAAATCAATACCTGCCTAACTAGATTTTTATACCAGATTTCTAACAGTCAACGTGTATTATATATTTACATACCTGTTGCTGCTTGGGTCGACTGGGTTCCTATTTGTGGTTCAGGGTTGACACACACATCAGGAGGGGGTTGTTGTTCCCCTAAATATTAAAAAAATAGCAGAATCTCCATACATATCTAGTACCTATTTATGCGTTCACGTGTATGATATATATATTTACATATGTATGTACCTGTTGGTCCTTGGCTTGCTTGCTTGTGTTTTTTCCTTTGAGGCTCAGCAGTTTTTGCAGAAGCAGCTAGTTCTTTGCCTAAATATAAAAAAATAACAGAATCTCCATACATATTTAGTACTTACGTATTTGGAGGAGTGATACACTCTAAATAACTTGGGAATGTCGTTGCATGCGGAGGTGCTATGAACACATATGTATAAATATGTACATAGTTAACTATTTTTGGGTAATGATTAAGTAGGCGCTTTGTCACCAAGGGAGAATAAGTCAAAAATGTATTTACATACCAAACAGGCATGACGTCCTTAGGTAAAAATGAGCATTTTTATCGTCTCAATATACATATGTAAGTACGTAAGACTTTGTTGCATGAAAGTATTGAGTTTTTAATAGTGACGTCACATGTGTAAGTTTCTGACTATTAAAAACTCATTACCCAAAAGTATTTACAGATATATGTAAATACATAGCACCTCCGAGGGCGACGATTTCTCTAGTGTGTACATTTGTACATAAGTATACGCAAATATGAAAATATTTAAATAATTTGTTTACGTACGGTTCTTCCACTCCTGGTCAATCAAATTTAGTTGTGTATTGAATAGACTTCGATCATTTATATATGTAGCGGTACGTTCTGCAATTCGTTGTTTGAATTCTTCTCTTATTCTACGTTTATCCTCCCTAAATGATGCATATATGGGTTCAGCCAGGTCCCTCAATCGTCGTTCTTCTTTCTCCAGGTCGTCTGCAATTTAAGCACGAGAAATTATAAGTAAAAAGCGGTAAATCTAAATATGTTTAAATTTTATTTCTTCGAGTGCACGATTTTGTGTAAGCAAATCTTACCTTTTGACAGTTTAGTGTAGTCCATGTTGTGACGGGATTTGGTTTTGATGGGGTGACCTCGACGAAGGGGGGGCGAATTTTTATCAGGAACTAGTAAAATAATTACAGTTCTTGGGAGACTTGACCTGCTTGGAGGTGCAGATGTATGGGACTAAAGGGAGAAGTGAATGGTGGGTCGTATTTATGTACATACATATGTATCCATGCATGCATTGTCGTAAGAAGGTTGCATTTTTAAGATACATGCACAATTCGAAGAAATGGGTCAAAATTTCCTTTTACATACCTGGATAAAAATAAATATTTAAGTACCAATCCAAATATAAATATGTATGCATTTGGTTTGTTCAGAATTAATAGACGATCGGCTGAAGCTTTTTGACCATCTCTTAACCTTTTAATGAGGGACATATAGATATTGTTGGGAATCATATTTATTAACCTCACTGAGACCATAAATCCATCGGAAAAATTCCCTTGAATACGAGATTGAATTCATAACTACATCTTGTAGCAACCAATTAAATTTCCATGATTTCCTATAAATGCCCAATATTTATTTCAACCAGTTTCCAAGTTTTGAGTTTTTGCCGAAAATCACGAAAACTCCACTTTTTAACATTTGTCGGTATAGGGAAAATTCCAAAATTTGTGAAGAAAAATACCCAGAAAAGTCACCTTTTTACCATCGAGTTTTCCACAAAATACCAAAGAAACACTCGTATTTTGGGAAATTCTGAGAAAGTTGATTTTTTTTCCAAATACGTCATATGGCGTATTTGGTCCTCAAGGGACAGTCGTCATGGTACATCATATGATGAATTTGGGCGCAAAGGGTATTTTAAAATAATACGAGATATGACGTATTTGGTCGCCAAGTGACGCCCAGAAAAATACGTCATATGACGAATTTGGTCTAAATGAGGTTAACCGAACGCGGGAAGTTTTTTTTAAATCACTGAATTTTTATTTTATGTACATATAACTATGTTCAGCACGCGGGGGTACGAAAATTTTTAAAATTGTGTACAAGGTTGGACATTCAAAATAGACATGCAATTTCGACAATTTTCACAAGTGTGCGGGTCGGCCATTCGGCTCTAAACAAAATTTTTCAAGATGTACCCCCCTGCAAGACGGGTGCGTCCATCTTGCAGGAAGACAATTGACCTCCTTCCGATTTACGGGTTAATACAGAACATACGTATGTACTACTCAAACTCCTAACGTATTGTCGTCATAAATTCCGAACATGTACAACTCAAAACTTTGCTCGGTATAAGGAGTTATACAACACTCCACCCATTATGCGCATATTTTGGTTCCACTTTGCTCGGAACCGTAACTTGAAAAAAATTGGAAATTTTGACGAAATGCAATTTAAGTTAATGTGCATTTGATCAAGAGACTATCTTTCTTACACAACCCATTAAATAGGAACCTTTTCCCTCATTTGCTGCTCAAGGTTCACCCACGTGAAGATTAACCTTTATGGAAAATGCCTACGTACATATGTATGTAAGTGTAGTTTTGTAGGTCCATTATTAGGGTAAACATGACCGCATTACTGGACCGGTGAGCGTGTACATATTGTTAATCAGATACATATTTAATTTGTAAAAACTGCACATATGTATGCACATGGGTACATATAGTATCTAACATTTAATGCTATGATTTCTTGTTTCTCGTCAATTCTGGCTTACAATTCAAGATTATATTTATACCATTTCTTTATATACAATAGATCGGACAGCTAGTGGAAAATTTGGAAGGGATTGAGATACAAATGCGGAATCTACAAATATTTGAATTCCAAAATATGTACGGTTTGCCGATTTTTCAATTTCGACCCCAAATATTTTGACAAATTCCCACCATCGCACAAACTGCCTCAAGAAACGTTGGTTGTATTGACTAGGACCACATAATTTCAAAATTTCAACCAATTCGGAGGGTTACACTTCACACCATCGCATTGTTAGTCGTTCTTAATCGTTCCATCGGACGACATGACGCCGCGTGTGGAGGTGGTTGGGTTGAGAAGGGAACTGTTTTTGTTTAAACATATCCCACTATTTCTTATGGTAAGGTTCCAGTTCGTGGTGGATATTAGTCGGGTATGTGCACATAAATAGTTAATACTTGGCTTTGTAATTTGATAAAAGTGGGGGCCGTGCATACACAACTTGACTCGTTGGAGGGAATGTTAACCCCACAATAGCTGGCCCATGTTGCAATTAACATTTGTATGCTGAGGCAATTCACGCAGTCCTTGTAAACTCCGTAAAGTTACAACCCTTTCCAAAATTGTACTTACATAAATACATATGTATTATGTAGCCTGCCAACATTTGTAAACTTACTCAGATCAAGGGTGGTCTTTTTGCATATTGTAAAAGATTGTAAAATCATGTTACAAGATTTACGGAGTTTACAAGTTATAAATGAGTGAAATTGCTTCAATGTAAGGTACATCTACTCTTAAGTTAGACTGTGTGAACTTAAGCTATACAGCGCAGTTAGTGGAGATTGTTATTTATGAATTTCATTTTTCGGGGCACAATTACATGGGCCAGAAGCTGGTGTAAAGCACTTTTTGTTGAACTTGCGAAGTTTGGTAGCAATAGCCGTGAAAGTGAAAACCTCGCGAATCGAGTTTTTCACAACCAAAAAATCTTCGCTTGTCGCAACTCGAATTAGACGTGCCAGTGCTTCAAAACGGAAACATGGCACAAAATGAAAATCTAGCTTTATATTTCGATGTATTAGGATGACAAAAAGTGAAATTCAAAAAACATTCGAGGCCACCACTCGTCAGAGCGACGCATCAAAAACTGGGTGCCATCAAAAAGCTCCTTACCACCAACCCTTCCAAGTCCTGCAGATGCACGGGAACTGAAAATCGCAAAAAGTGTGTCGTGCATCACTAAAGTACATAAACTGGGGACAACAGAAAATATATAACAAAGTCTCCCAAAGTTCGTCAAAGACCAAAAAACCTGGGTGCAAAAAAATGCAAAAAACGAGTCGAAAAATGTCATCGGAAATAATCATCATTTGTGACGGGATCTACGTCGATCCTGATCGCGTAAAGACTTCGCAAAGCACATTCTTTCACTCAGGCCACCCAGTGAATGTGAATTATCAACAGAAGTTGTACATCAAATCTAAGTTGCAGGTAAAATTCCAAGCAAGGATTACATTGAGTCAGATGGGCTTAAAACTGAAAACCGTCCAAATATCCGTATTCGCGAGAAATCGAAAAGATTTGAGCCTTATGCAAAAGAAGGTACTCCAACCTTCGCTCTAAGGCAAAAAAGCTGGTAGGAATCGAACGTTAATGCCGAAAAATCGGCCGGGACATTTTTCAATCGTGTTGAAAATCGCTAATTTGAGTTTTTCTGCGGGAAGTCGGACTGGTGGCCAAGAATGGAGAAAGATGAATACTATGGGACAAAAACTTGTTGCTATGGACATTACCTACACCACCCCGAAGGTTTTATAAAAAACTTCCAACTACGTCGAATTCCATAGGTCATGAATCGCAGTCCAACTTAAGAGCGGATGGGGTATAAGTTTATAATCTGGGGAGAGAGCAGAACACAAAAAAGTAAACGAAAATGTATACTTAAATTATTTTTTGTCCCGTCTACAGGTATTTTAAGATAAAAAACCCAAGGAAGACCAACTCTCTGCAAAGTCCGACCTCCTTGGCGTCGCTTTAAACCACATACTCCTCACTTGTGCCACGGTTCCCTTCACGGCGGTATTCGTCGCAACTTACGTTGAACTTGACCCACTATACATTTGGATGAAATATATCCCGTCTAGTGTGAACCAACTTATCGACTCGTATCCTTGGACCTATGTTATCCTGCCTTGTCGTATGATAGTCGCCACGATAGAAATGAATCGTATATGCGCCCATGTGTTTTCTTCTTTCACGATTACGTTTCATCTCATCTTTTCCAGCATTTCAACTCTACGTCGTATCCCAATTAGTCTAAATAAATATGAGCAGGCTTCGAAAAACTCATACTACATACTACACACAACTTAACCTCGTCATGACATTACTGTATGACTCCTTTGCAATCACGATGGCAGTTATGATGTTGGTGACAGGGGTATGGTGCGTACTGCTGAACTTTGGGACGGTCAAGATGCATAACTCCATTTCAATGCCGTACTTTGTCCTGTTGCCGGTATGTACAATTTGGCGGTTAGAGTTTTAACACCAATCGTTGTCGAGGTATATGAGGGTACCAAACCGATCCGGATAAAGTGGGAATTGCAGTTGGCATGTTGCTCGAAGGTGGCAGAGGTAAAATGGCTGAGTAAACGGCTACGAGCGCTGAGAGTGTATTTTGGGTTGTTTGAGGTCAATTTCTTCTTCATGAAACAATCGACAATGGTGCCATATTAAGTGGATATTGTTGATTACACAATCAATGCAATGCTGTCTATTAATGTGTGACATTTCATGTCAAGTTTCTTCTCTAAATTCACCCAGTTCATATATATTTACGTGAGTTGTATTTGGTTGTTTAAAGTAGTCATCCAAAGCAAAATTGACGCCTCCGGCGTCATGGTTACAGTGTCAAAAAGACCCTAAAGCGTCTTTTTGACAGCTAAACCCCCTGAAATCATGGGTTGAACAGTTTGAAATCCGGTAAAAAATATTAGTAACAATTAATTTGTAAATTATCTCTGGTCATATCTAACAGCATTTAACAGAGTTGTAGTCAAACATTTAGAGAGTTTCTTAAAATTGTTAAAAAATGACACACAATTGCGTGTATTGGAAAAACTGGCGGCGCCCAGAATCATTACGGATTCGTGTACACAAAATTACTAAAATTAAGCTATTACATCTCACGAAGACGAAAAAAATTGCGTGAAAAAACTGATGTCCAATGATTTATAATTCGTAATATGTATACATAGCCTAAATTAGATGAGGGTGTGTTCATATATAATTTAGCTTTACTTTATTTCCTTAGCCAAGTTACCAGATTTGCTAAATACGTTGATATTTTTTAAGTTAAAGCTAATTTCCTTACTGTAGATAAGATACATATTTCCTTTCATGTTGCACCTTGAATCACATTTTCTTGATGTTACTGTTAAGAGAACCAATGTGATCTTCAGATTGGGTAGCGCTTACTTTCAA